CCCATGAACGATGCTGGTCCTCAGACCACACCTTGTCAGCAAGGCTATAGGCAATGCCACCTACATTCAGGTATAACCAGAAGATCCCAGGGGACCACAAAAAAGAAATCCAGATGTCCTAGGAGCCAAACATTGCCTGTATTTTCCTTTCCAGCCCAAAAAAGTTTGAGAAGCAAATTTGCAGCCCCAGCTTAGGAGTAGAGCCCCTGCATTGCCTGGCCTGATCCTTGACCTCTTCTAACCAAAACCTCCATGGCCTTACATTTCTAGGACCTAATCTCAGCTCTCACAGAACCACTCTATTAAGACTGGCCTCCCCCAGGACAGGAGTGCTACTTTCTTATTGCCGAATCCTATGGATACTTCCCTCAGTGTGTTATTTGGCATTTGCTACTGTTGCTTGCCTTCCTTTCATGACCTGCCCCATAACCTCTTCCATCCCACCAGCCACATCAATGTTTATAGCAGACAATTCACAATAGCTGAACTGTGGAATCAACCTAGATGCCCTTCAGTAGATGAATGGATAAAGAAACTGTGGCATATATACACAATGGAATATTACTCAGCATTAAAAGAGAATAAAATCATGGTGTTTGCAGGTCTGTGGATGGAGCTGGAGAATATCATGGTCAGTGAAGTTAGCCATTCCCCCAAAACCAAATGCTGAATGTTTCCTCTGATATAAGGAGGCTGACTCATAATGGGGATTTGGGGGAGCATGGGAGGAATAGATGAACTCTAGATAGGGCAAAGGGGAGGGGAGAGCAAGGGAGGGGGAATGAGGGTAGAAAAGGCAGTGGAATGAGATGGACATCATTACTCTAAGTACATGTATGAAGATAAGAATGGTGTGGCTCTATGTTGTATACAACCAGAGATATGAAAAATTGTGCTATATAGAGTATTATGAATTGAAATGCGTTGTGCTGTCATATATAACAAATTAGAATAAATTTTTAAAATTTTAAAATAGAATAAATAGATAAACAAAGATTTGATAGTATTGCTTAGGATAAGATAGCGATGAAATCATGTCATTTTATTAAACACTATAAGTAATTTATAGACTTAATTTATATATTTATTAAGCCCCTATTATGTGACTGACCCTGTTCCAGGCCTTAAGGACACAGCAGGAAAAAGACAAAAAGTCCTTGCATTAGTGGAATTTGCATTCTACTTTGCATTCATGTTCACGATTAGGGATAGGTAGTCATAAAACCGTGATTAGATACAACATCAGAAATCAGTTCACATCACCTATCAAGAGCCCCATCCCTTGTCCTGCTGAGATGTGTCCAGAGCTTGACACTGGCCTGTGGGACATGCTTCTGAGAAGGGCACTATGTACCGCTCTTCATAATTCCACACAAGGAATACAACAAGTCACAAATTATTATAAAGATAACTCAATTTTTTTTCTTTTTAAAGGAGCACATTACATTTATCAAAAGGAATTTTAGAATGAGCTTGGGTGTTACGGTACATGTGCGTAGTTAGAAATGGTTTAAGAAATGGAAATTAGAATTGATAGGAAATCTCAGAGAAACATAATAGCTTTAGTTAGGGCTATGGTCTAATTGTTTCAAGTGTTGAAGTCTTTACCCCCAAAGTAATGGTATTATGAAGTGAGTTGTATTAGGAGGTGGTATTGAGAGATTAGGTTGGGAGAAGAAGTCCTAATGATTGGGATTCATGCCCTTACAAAAAGAGGCTCAGGACAGAACCCTCCCTCCTTCTACCTTGAGAGGTTAGGATGAGAAGATGGTTGGTTTCAGCCCTCATTAGGTACCACATCAGTCAGCCCTTTGATCTTAGATTTGCCAGCATTTAGGACTGTGAAAAAATAAAATCCTGTTGCTTATAAGCCACCCAGTATATGGTATTTTGTTACAGTAGCCCAAATGAACTAAGTCAGTGAATTCTTTTTCATTTTGTCTTAACATACTACTACTATTGCCATTCAGCTGAACACCTGCTGTGGCCGTGAATGGTCATGGATTAACTCCCTGGGTGTAAAGCTATCTAAGTCCATTTTCTATTGCTATAGCAAAATGCCTAAGGCTGAATAGTTGGTAAAGAAAAGAAGTTTATTTAGCACATAGTCTTGTTGACTTAAACTTCAAAATTGGGTGACTCCCTGCTTGGCTCTGGTGATAGACTTCTGGCTACATCACAACATGATAAATGGCATCATAGCAGGATAACATATAAGAGGGAGAGATTGCATGGTGAGACAGGAAGCCAGAGGAATTCAGGGACCAAGCTTGCTCTTTTTATAACAACTTGTTCTGACAGGAACTGGCGAAGTCTTACAAGAACTATATTCTTCGATTCTGAGGGCCATGCCTCCTGTGGGTAACCATCTTCTACTAGGCCCCCCTGCTTAGGGGTTCCGGCACCTCCCAGCCGTATGAACCTTCAGGAGGACACACTCAAACCAAAATCAACAGTACTATGCCTGGTTTTCACCATAGACTTACATTTCCTCTCTCTATTATAGCGTGTGATACAAAAGGAGAAGTATAATAAATGGCAATGATTTGCAAGCAGTTGCTTCTGTGAAGTCAATTTGTCAGATCTTTAACCTTAAGATATGTGGCAAGCACGGGGTGCAGTGGCACATGCCTGTAATCCAGTTGTTCTGGAGGCTGAGGCAGGAGGATCAGGAGTTCAAAGCCAGTGAGACCCTATCTCTAAATAAAATACACAATAGGGCTGGGGATGTGGCTTAGTGGTTGAGTGCCCCTGAGTTCAATCCCTATTACCCCCCACCAAAAAAAAAAAAGAGAGGTAACAGCCCAGCCCAGCCCAGGGGACACTGTGCTGTCTATTGGACCAATGCTTCCATCCCCCAGCTGTGGGAAGATGACCCTGAAGATTCACAGCTGTGACCCTCATAGGGAATCACCTAAGCCACAAGGAGCTGCCTATCAAAGGTTATACCCTCCCAGGACAGTCACTGCAGGACTCAAAAGCAAACCTAGAATTCAGGCTCCAGTGTAGTTGCCCCATGGGGAATGGGCATACAGACCGCCTCAGTGCAATCTGTCATGTTTAATTCCTTAAAAAAGATCAGAAGCAAATATATATAATGGTACGATTTAATGATGCCTGGTTTCAATTCCTGAACATTTTTATTCTTCTTTATTCCTGACTGCATGTCTAAAGTACATCATAATGAAATAGGACTTGTGAGATCGAGGATGGAGGTTAAATGGGCATTTTTGTGCCTATTTAATTCCTTTTCCTATCTCCAGGCAGGATCTAGAAAGAGGAGATTGTGTTTGCTGAGCATCCCTATATACCAGCTACTGTGATGGGGACTTTGTATACTTGGAAATATGAATTCACTTAAAGGGCTAGGGATGTGAATCAGTGGTAGAGCACTTGCCTGGCTGGCATGAGGTCCTGGGTTTGCTCCCTAGCCCTGCCCTGGCCCCCCAAAAAAATGAAAGGGAAGAAAAAAACAGGATTCAGATTCACTTACATGTTAGGCAGGACTTTATAACTCTTTCAAGAGTTTTTTCAAAATTTGACATTGGTACATTCCATTCACAGTGAGACATGTCATTAGATTTCATTCTGATAGCAAACTTGTGACCTTTTTGCTGTAACTTACTCATTTCTTCAGTGTGGTACTTAAATCAAACCAAAGCCTTGGCAGAGTCCCCCTTGAGAATCAGGACACTCTTTCCCATGCTTACCTGAGGCCCCTAGGATGCACATGATCTGCCCACTCTCAATGTACAAGGAGACATCTTTGAGGATCTGCCTGTTCCACCGCTGCCAGCCAGATGTGAAGTTCCACCAGGGCCCCACTCGATTGCTTTAAAGAAAACCCCACAGGGGCAAAGGCAGCATGGGTCCTAGAAGGAGCCAGACCAGATCCCCGGGCACTGATCCCAGCTCTGCCCCACCCCACTTGTCTCTGAGCAGGCTCCTGTTTTATCCTCTGGGTCCTCCTCTGCGAACCCTGGCGGGATCGCGACTGCAAGCTGGCTACCACCCTGGAAAGCACCCGCCCAGCAGCTGCTCTGAGTGACAGTTCTCTCTGGCTGCTTGCGAGGTGGTGAACAGGACAGTGTTCATTCCTTAAGCTGACCCAGTCTTCCTTCTCCAGGCTTCATTCCGCCTGGTCTTCCAGGCACCCCGACTCCTCACACCCTCTCTGTCCACACAGGGCAGGCGGTAGCCAGGCTGGGGAAGGGGTGTGGGCAATGGGAATGGGTAAAGGGCAGTGGCAAGAGACAAAGCACTTTTTTTTTTATGTCCAGGCCTTGCCCTGGACAGGAGAAGGGACCATTCACTTTTGTTCCTCATCTTCCAGTGGCACTGCCACCAGCTCTCTTCCAACCCGATCTACTGAAGAGGCAGCCCATAGCCCCCAGGTACACCCCCAACCTATTAGTCAGGACAGGCAACAGAGCAGGTGAAAGACCAGGCCACCTGCCTGCAGGTGCCGCCTTACCTGATGCTATAGGAGACGTGGAGGACGCCCAGGCTGTTCCGAGGCTCCGAGGCAGCAGCAGCACCCTCCTCAAGGGAGCCCTGGGAACCTCTGTTTACTTGGGGTCCTGAGTCCCCTTCTGGGGTCAGAAAGGGGAACTCACTCATGGCCAACTGGCAGCAAAAACAGTTGAGTTTTCTGGTGGCGTGACCCTTCCTGAAGTGGCTTCAGCTGAGGAGCCAGTGGCAGAGTGCCCTGCCTGCTCTTTGCCCGGTCCTAGAGTCCCTCATGAAGCAGCAGGACAGGAACTTGGCTATGGATGCCATTATCTGATGTACCTTTAGCCACAGCGTTCTTATCTTGACAGTGGGCAGAACACACCGTGTTTGTGGGAGGGTTTTCCAGAGGAACGCTGGGAGAGAGACTGGCCCAGAGGAGGACGGAGGTGGCCCTGCTCTAGGAAACAAAGACAGAAAGCTCTGGCCCAGCAGGCAGCGGCCAAGACCCAAAGGAGTTGCACTGAAGGGGCACAGACCTCGCGGGCCCCATGGCTGAGAAGACCACAGAGGAGACAGGGCTGTGGAAAGAGGCCTCTATCCAGGATGCCTCGGTGAGTGACCGGCACCACCTCTGTCGGTGGGAGGGGAGGAACTGGACCTTTCTTTGTTCCTTCAGGAGCTTGGAACAAGCAGAATGAGAATGTAGAGCAGGACTCTATTTCTGGGATGTCAGAGGGTGGTGGGGAGCAGATCTGTAGGCCTGGAGGCCTCTGAGATCACTTTTGGCCCTAAAGCATGCTCCTAGAGGAAAATGAGGTTCTTATGTGAGACTTGGGCTGATTTTGCCTTTTCCAAAATCAAGACTCCACTGCAGAAATGTGCTCATACATACCAGGAACTCTCCGGGTGTCTCCTTTGTTCACGCAGCTGTCAGGTCAAGAATCTCAATGGCAGTAAAGTGAGAGATGACAGGTGACTTTTGTGGGAACATCAGGTTTTATGCTCAAATAATGCAGGCAAATGTAAGATCTGGGAATGAACTGGAAGGAACAGACATCGGCCAAGGGACCTTCCTCTCTCATTTTAACAGAGAAATGTTTACTTGGTAAATGGCCTTTGAGTGGAGAGAGTGGGCGGGATTTGTAGCAAGAGGCTACATTGGAAGAAAGAAGGGATGCTGGTCCCACCTCTGCTTGACCCTGCCCCACATTTCTGTCAGTCCGGGTGCCCAGAGGAGGACTGAGGTGGCCCCGCTCTCAGAAACAGAAAGTTCTGGCCCAGCACCCAGCAGCTAAGACCCAAAGGAGTTGCACTGAAGGGGCAGGAAGCCACGGGCACCTGGACTGCCTGGCCAGGCTGACGGAGCCCACTTTTCCTACCAGTTCTTCAACCACAGCAATGACCAGCTTTGCTCTCTGAGTTCCTGTGGGGCCAGCCCCTGTGGGGAAATGACCCCTACCAGCCAGGGCAGCAATGGTTACCTCCTGAACAGGACATAAAGTCAGGGGTGGCTTTAAGGACATCTTCTACCCTAAAGGTCACCACCACAGAGTGAGAGGCAGAACTCCACATGCAAAAAAATGCATGCAGGCCCTTCCGCTGACAATTTCCTTTTCTTCAATTCTGTTACTCTAGGTACCATGCCACGGTCTGCCCCGCCCACCCCTCCTTTTTTTGTGTGTGTGTGTGTGCAGGGGATAGTATCCAGGGGCTCCAGCATGCCGGTAAAATGCTGTATCACTGAGCTATAACCCCAACCCCTACCTCTAACATTTGTGGGGCCTGGAACAAAAGGATGGGGACCACATACTCTATGTCTAGGAAAAGCTATCAGTCAAGCCGGGCACAGAGTTGCACACCTGTTATCCCAGCAGCTTTGGAGGCTGAGGCAGGAGAATGGCAAACTCAAGGCTAGCCTCAGCAATTTAGAGAGGCCCTAAGCAACTTAGCAAGACCCTGTGTCAAAATAAAATATAAAAAGGGCTGGGGGGGAGCTGGGATTGTGGCTCAGCGGTAGAGCGCTCACCTAGCACGGACGGTGCCTGGGTTCGATCCTCAGTACCACATAAAAAATAAAGGTATTGTGTTGTGTCCATCTACACCTAAAAAAAAGAAAAATATTTTAAAAATACTTAAAAAAGAAAGGGCTGGGGATGTGGCTTAGTTGTTAAGCATCCCTGATTTAAAAAAAAAAAAAAGCTATCCATCAAGCTAAGTATTATTAAATAAAATAGTTTGTATCCTCTTACTTTGACATACCTTCCTTACAACCTGAAAGGTCAGGGTACCAAAAGTTTGGTGCTTGTCTCCAGTGCCAATCCAATAACAAGGACACATTTTGACAAAAAGGAAAGAAAGAAGGTTTATTGCTAGCAAAGGAGAAACACAGGGGACTCCTGTCACAGAGGCTGTGATTCTGCCCATCAGCAGAAAGTCATTTCTGAGATCTTCTGGTGCCATCCCCAAAGTCTGGATTACTTCCTTTCTATGGGGTGTGTACTCAGGGAACGATAACTCTGCTTAAGTGGGGAAGAAAGATAATCCTGTTTCCCCTGAGATTAGGGAGGAGCAGGGAGAGAGGAAGAGAAAGATACATGTCCATTTTAAAGATCAGATGCAGTGGCTATGTTCAAAAGGGCTACATTCAAAGCACAGAGTGGGCCACTGTTACAAGGGTTTCTCAGAGGAGCAGCTAGGATGTGGTGGCATGGGGAGCTGGCTTTTAGCCCAAGCCACGATCTGTCTTCTTCTCTGCCCACCCCTAGCTCCATCCCACTCTATCACCAACTCCTCCAGCCAGTCCTGTGGTCACCCCAGCCTCACATTCCATCCATGTCCCTCACAGACAGATGTCCCTCTGGCTTGGGGGATCACTTGAGTGCTACTGTCAGTGTCCCTGAAGAAGAACCTCGGAACCAGTGAATGCAGGCCCTGGGGATGGGACTGAGGCAGGTTGCACAGGGACATCTGGCGTCAAGTACCTGGAATGACAGGTGCCCATGGCACACCCAGTCCCCACATCAGGAGCAAGAGCGGGGCCAGGGAAGGACAAGAGAGGCCTGGGCTCCAGGCAGAGCTGTGCGAGATCTGGTCTTAATGTTTCAGTAAAGGCCCAGGAGTGTCCCCACAGCCAGGAACAACCCCTGCATGTCCCCATCAGCCACAAGTAAGCCCTCACTCAGCGTGTCACCCCTGCAGACGCCACTCCTGAACCAGAACTGTGCTCCGCACTGAGCTTCCTTCCTGTCTCTGCTTCTGACTCGGGAATTTGATCAGAATTTAATACAAGGAGAAATTACAATGTAGCACAGCAGGCGCTGAGCTGGTTACCTACAAATAAACCTGCTTTTGCTTTTTTGGGTGTCACCTGTCAGAAATTCAAGTGATGTTCTGACAGTCGTACTGATTAAGATGTCAGCTGAATAGATATTTAAGTATTTGAAAAATACAGAGAGTTTGTCAAAACCTCAGGAAGAGTCTAACAAATCCTTCCTGGGAGCCAAGGAAAATATTTTAAAAGAGAACAGAGGACATCTTCAACCCAGGCGCCAATTTTCTTCCAAAAGCAGAGCTGCCTACGTGGCTCTGGGCAGGCACAGTCCCTCCATGGTCTCAGGGCTGGGGGCCACTGGCACCTTTTAACTTCATCTGTCCTCCCTCTTGCTGCCTCTTCCCCTGGACCCCAGGGCTCTCTCCTCAAATCATAGCATGCTGGACTTGAGGTCACCTCCCACACATTGCTCCAGACTCCAAATGTCTGTCTTTGTGTCATCAGCAGCTCCTCTGTCCCTAAACCCAACCTGGGGAGCTTTGGGCCTGCAGTAGCAATTTCTGAGTTAATTCATATCTGATGCCGATTAACTAATAACCCTCCTGTTTGAAAAACAAGATAATAGGGTGCACGTTAGCCCAGATGAGTCCTTCAGCAGTTGATGCATGTTCTGATAGTTAACACAAAAAACTGGAGAAACTGGGCAGGGTGGTGATGGTGGGAGTGGCCAGAGAAGGCAAGCACAGGGTCAACTGGCCAGGAGTCCAGCTGTTTCCTGAACCTCCTTTCTTCTTTCCTCCCACTCTCCTCACCCCTACACATGTGTGTGTGTATTTTTTTGGGGGGGCCCTGGGGATTGAACCCAGGTGTGCTTTACCACTGAGCTATATCCCCAGAACTTTTCATTTTTTATTTTGAGACAGTATCTTCCTTAATTTGCTGAGGATCTCACTAAATTGCTGAGGCTGGCCTTCAACTTGTGATCCTCCTATCTCAGCCCCCAGAGGAGCTGGGATCATAGGCTTATGCCACAGCACTCACCCTCCCTCCTGCTTTGAAGCATGGGCTGCATCGGGGGAAGGTGGGAGTTCTACTCCTAGCCTTGGTCTCTCCATTTGAAAACATATTGTGAAATATTTCAAACATTCATTTACTCAGGGAAGTCCTACTCACTCACCGCTGATTTCCAAGCTAAACCCCACTCCATTACCCTTCTCCCCTTTATCTGTCCTGGTTCCTCAAATATAACCCCTCTCCTGAGTGAGGTGTCTTATTTTTCCCATGTTTTTACTGGGTAATTTTTTTTTTTTGGGGGGGGGGGGTACCAGGGAATGAACTCAGGGCACTCAACTACTGAGCCACATCCCCAGCCCTATTTTATATTTTAGTTAGAGACAGGGTCTCACTGAGTTGTTTAGCACCTCAATTTTGCTGAGGCTGGCTTTGAACTTACCCTCTCCTGCTTCAACCTTCTGAGTTGCTGGGATCACAGGCACGTGCCACTGTGCCCAGCTTTGCTGAGTGACTTTTTAAAGATATTTTTTAGTTGTCAATGGATCTTTTATTTGTTTATTTGTTTGTTTATATGCGGTGTTGGAGGAGGAATCCAGGGCCTCACACATGCCCAAGTAAGTGCTCTACCGCTGAGCCACAACTCCAGCCCTTTACAGGGTAATTTTGATCATAGTTCAACCCTTAAGCCATGTAAGTAGCTTTGGTCTGCTGTTTTAATACTCTCCTGGGACTCTGGGGGCTGCTCATAGGACACCTGCCACTTGTACTAATCCCCCCACTTCCATTGGTCTGGAGTGTTCTTTTCCAGGACCTCCTACCTCCACTATTGCAGGGGTAATTTGACAAAGTCATTGTCATATTTTTTTGGCCTGAGGCACGTGTGGATGTTGTGTTCGAGGTGAAGACGCACCTAGACCAGAAACTTGAGGTCAGCCTGCCTCTAGGTCTGACCGTCTTTCTCCATCCTAACACTTGACTTACTAAGCTTACTAAAATCTAAGCTTCTCAGAGATGCCCTTTTTCACTGTCACTTCCCAAGTTCCAAGCCTGAAGTGGACTGGGGACTCCCAGGTGAGGATTTGTCGTGTGCTTCGTTGAAGGAACGTGTCAGTGAGAGAAGGGCAGCTCTGAGGGCCAAAGCTCGCGGGAGCTTGTTAATGAGTCCATACTTAATCCTGCTCTAGTGAACCAGAAGGAGAGTGCAGGGCACTAGGAGATACCCCGCCAGACCCAGGGTTCCCCAGCTCCCAGCTCAGGTCGTGCCACTCGGCTGTCTCCAGTTGGGTCATTCATCATGGTCATCATCACTCAAATCCATCTGAGCGTCATTCATCAGGCGCTGCATGGATTTGAGCCCACATAGGCCTGAAGTTGAGGTTCTTTGGCGGTAAAGGCCATCCTGGGAGAACCCCAAGCTCCTCCTGAAGGAGGGAGATGTGCAAGACTCCTGTTCTCTGGGGTTCCACCTGCACAAACCCATCTCCTGCCAATGTGGACCCTCAACCACATTGACAGCCGCTGCTGTCACCTCTCGGGTCACCTTCTGTCTTCTCCTACATCCTCTGCAGTCTCTGCAGGAGTCCCTCCCCTTCATGTCTCCCAGCAGGGCCTCCAGGACAGCTTGTTCTCCTCTGAAAGTGACAATAGCCTGTACTTTACCTACAGTGGCCAGTCCAACACCCTGGAAGTCAGAGACCTCACCTACCAGGTATGGGCACAGTGTGCCTGGGTTGAAGGGAAGAGGAGTGACAGGGAAGCCACAGAATTCCCCAAGTGGAAGGGAAGGGTGAGCCGGTCCTGCAGGCTTTCTTCTCCCAAGGACAGAGTCCAATCTATGCTGATGCCTCACTTGTGGGGTGTGTGCACCAGGGAGATTTCTCTCATTCATCACCTACACATGGAACTGGAAATGAGGGGCATGAAGAAGGTTGGGGCCGGTTGTGAAAAAAAAAATATGCATGGGAGGGCTGGGGTCAAGGCTCAGTGGTAGAGCACTTGCCTAGCATGTGTGAGGCCCTGAGTTTGATCCTTAGCACCACATAAAATAAATAAAAATGAAGGCATTGTGTCCATCCTTAGAATATATATATATATATATATATATATATATATTTTAAAAAATGCATCTGGGGCACTGTACCACTGGGCCGCACTCCAGCCCTTCTTATTATTTACTTAGAGACAGAGTCTCAATAAGTTACCCAGATTGGCTTCAAACTTACAATCCTTCTGCCTCAGCCTCCTGAGTAGCTGGGATTATAGGCATGCATCACCATGCCTGGCTCTGGATGGCTCCCTCTCTCTCTCCCTCTCTCTCTCATTAAATCGTGTGTTTGTGTGTGTGTGTATCTCACTTTACCACAGAGCTACATCCTCAGTCCTTTTTATTTTTTAATTTTTTATATTTTGAGATAGGGTTTCACTAAGTTGCTGAGGGTATTGCTAATTTGTGATCCTCTTGTCTCTGCTTCCTGAATTGCTGGGATTACAGGCATAAGCCACCATATCTGGCTGCAAGTCTTTTTTAACTTTAGATTTTGAAATAAATTTAGACTTTTGAAGAAGTTACAAAAATAATTTGGCATTCCCATGTTCCTTTTGTCCAGCTTCTCTAATGTTAAACTCTTGCATATGTCAGTGTAATTATCAAAACTAAGAAATTCAGCTGGGTGCAGTGGCACATGCCTGTAATCCTGTGACTCAGGAAGCGGAGGCAGGAGGATCACAAGTTCCAGGCAAGCCTTGGCAAATTAGGGAGGCAAGACGCTGTCTCAAAAAATAAAAAAGTTTGGGGATGTAGTTCAGTGGTAGAGTTCAATCCCCATTACCAGAAAATTAAAACTTTAAAAACAAGAAATTCACAATGTGCAATGCTATTTAGTAAATTATATATTTATTCAGATTTCATCTATCTATCTATCTATCATCACTATATATCTATTTATGTATACTTTTTGGTAAAATACACGGTCCCAAGAGCTAATAAAATAACCAGAATAACCAGAATGCAAAGAGGTTCTAAGGAATGTCTTGGTCAGAATCAAGGGCCCCTATTCCCCCACTTCCCCAGGACAGACCACATGTTTCCCAGATGGAACATGGTGAATCTCAGAGATGGGAGTCTGGCTTCTTGTGAGCATGAATTGAGACAAGCTAATGAGCCACACCATAACCTCTCTCTGCTCTGCCACTTATTAAAACTGTGTTACCTTGAGCAAGTTACTTAACTGCTCCGAGACCCATCTGTAAAACAGAGATTATTATAGAACATGTGCTATAGGTTTGCAATGAAGATTGAAATAAATCATGGATATAAAATGATTAACAAATGTCCTGAACAGTATCATTTTGTTGTTGTTGTTGTTCTGTTCTGCTATTGCACACGCTTTCCTGTCTCCTTATCCTTGGACTTGGAAGTAGCTGTTCGGGTTCTCAGTATGGTGGGTTCTGCCTCTATTTTTGGCAGACCCTGGGTCAGGGGGTGCCTCAGGTCTGTTGTGAATCAGCAGGAGGGAGGGGGGTGCCCTGGGAACAGGGGCAAAAGAAGGGACAAGGGAGCTGAACAGAGTCTGCTGAAGCCCTCTAAGCTGTTTGGCTTTTTGAGGAACCTCTGATGTCTCCCACAGGTGGACACGGCCTCCCAGGTGCCTTGGTTCGAGCAGTTGGCTCAGTTCAAAATACCTTGGTTGTCTCACGGCAGCCAAGACTCCCGTGAGCTGGGCATCAGGAACCTGAGCTTCAAAGTCAGAAGTGGGCAGATGCTGGCCATCATAGGGAGCTCAGGTACCACGGAAAGCAAACTGTTGGGCAGTGGTTTCTCTCTCCTGGGACGCAGAATGGACCTTCAGACAGAGAGATGCTTCTCATAAAACCCTTTGCTAGTAACTCCTCTTATTAGCTCTTATTAGATGGTTGCTACTACTATGAATGACAAATGTGCCTCTGGTCTACCTGGAGCTGCAGCCATAGCGTCAGTCTTTAGTTAGCACCTGCATTGAAAGAGGATGATCAGGAAGCTTCAGAACATCAAGTTCTCTTCAGAGACTCCTCCAGCCACAGGGCACTCGCTCGGGTCATTACCCCCATAGTCCGACTCAGGTCATGGTCAGACTGTGACTAGGCAGAGTTCTGCCAAACTCTCCCCCTCCAAAGTCATAGCCAACCTGCAACCTTCTGCAGAGAACTGGACTCTTGGATTGCTTCAAATAGACACTTCTCAAGGCTAAATTAGTAAATTATATATTTTATATTATAGAGTATCAGAGTGGCAAGGGGACTTGGATTTCAAAGTTCAAGCTGGGACTCTCCTCCTTACCAGCTTTGAAGCATTTTTACAGAAAGATTTTCAAATTATCTAGTATTCAATACTTCTAGGGTACTTTTTTTTCTCTCTCTCTCTCTCTCACACACACACCCATTTCCCTTAATTTGATTGATGTGGACACTAAATCCAAAGGACACACAAACTAGAACTTAAACTTGGTCCCCTGATTCTCAGATCCAGGTGTTTCTTCCAGGGATACCTTACACAGTATAGAGAGAACACTTTATATCTTTTAATTAATCATTTCCAGAGGTAAAGATTACTCAACGTTTTGAACATCTACCCCAAACTTTTACACTCCTCTGATAGAGAAGTTCTGTTTATTGTCTAACCAAAGATCAAATGAGTTACTATGTGCAAATGTACTTTGTAACTAAAACAACATGCACAATCATTAAGCCCCTCCCCCTCTGGCTCTGTCCCTATAATTCGGACCTAACCAAGAAAAAAAGCATTATTTTGATTTTTAACTTCCGATAGTTTTTCTTGTTGTTATCTGCTTTTTCTTCCTAAACTGAGCATGTGGGGGGCTCTCAGGCCCTTCTGTGGAATCATTCTGGTGAATACATGGCACATCCGACTCTAGCTCAGAGTCTACCTGATTTGTGATTGAGGAAAGGGGAGTTCAGAGAGGCGGAGCAGGAATTACATTGAGTAATCTCTAGGTCTTTTGACTGCAGGTTCAACATTGTTTGGCTTCAGGTTTACTTGGCGGAAATTATTAAAATGATTTCTTAGAAAGGTTTATCCATTGTATTATCTGTGACTTTTAAGATACACGCACACACACAAATGCTGGCCATATTTTTTTAAAAAATTATATATCAGCTCCAGGCATTTAGCTTCTATAGAATCAGCAATGCCAAAAGTCTTCTGATTAATAAATTTGCTGGTGGGGAGATGCCAGCCTTTTTCAAAGGGTCTTGAGGGCCCATGAATGTTTTCTCTGGGTTCAGAGAGGGCCTCCCCAATATACCACGCACCCTCCTTTGAAAAAACTGCCTACGCCTCCAACAAAGTTCTGCATAGGAAATGTGGTTCCCTTGCTCTCTTACTGGGAATCCATGGTCCCTGTCCTCACTGGCAAAGTCCCCTGCTCTCCCAGAGCCAGCAGCTGATGTCTGAGGCTACGCAGGAGCAGGACTGAGGCCCCTCTCTTTGCTTCCTCCTCTGGCTATTTTGCTCCACCCAAATTCTCAGGGATCCTGAATGAGGTGCACACAGGGGGTAGGGTGCAGGTTCCTTCCACTCAAAGTGCCTGGACAGTAAGCAGGAAGATGACATGGGGAAGCCTCCTAGTTTTTTAATTTTTCGTTGAGTGCCTTGGAGCTGCCTGCAGACCACCCATGGCATATGGCAAGGAAAACTTGTCACATGTTGTCTATTGCCACTTTCCTTGTTTGAAAACAACTTGGAAAACTTGCTCTCCAAGAGGGATGTACTTAAGGAAACCAAAACCCACCTGGGGCAGACTGGACAGAGCTTTCTCCCAGCTGGGGCTAAACAGCATTCAGTTTAAACATCTGTTAAAGAAAGAGCCACATCAAATGCTTTTGGAAATTAGATCTAACCTGATGCTCACTTCCCTAAATCAATGGTAGTCTTCTTTTCTTTCTTTTTAGTTGTAGATGGACACAATACCTTTATTTTATTTATTTATTTTTATGTGGTACTGAGAATGGAACTCAGGGCCTCACACGTGCCAGGCGAGCGCTCTACCAGTGAGCCACAACCCCAGCCCCCAATAGTAGTTTTTTGTCATTCATATGTGGATGGTGTTAACTTGACCTTAGGGATCTTTTTTTTTTCTTTTTTTCTTTTTAAGAGTAAAATACACCACTGATAGAAATAAGAGAGAAGGGTATAGATACATTCAGAAGGGTATAGATACACTATGCTTTAAAATTATTTCCACCTCTATTACTTTTCCACTTTCTTCCTTATGTTTCAAAATAAGTTCTGGTTTTGCATTTTTAAAAGACACCCTATGAATATTCCAAGTTAGTTCTTCCCACAAAGCCAGCCTCTGAGCTAAACGACAATGAATGGTGAAATCTTGCTGGCATGTTTGTCAGCCAGGAGTGGTTCCGCTTCACAGTGCAATTAACCCCAGCCTTGCTTGGGTTGGAAGAGCATTGGTTGGCAGTGGAAAGTGACAAACATTCCAGGCATGAGCAGGACTCCAGCCTTCTCCTGTCATGCAGCCCCTGGCTGACCTGGCCAAACCCCTGGGATAAATGTGTCTTGACCTCAAGGGTACCCCAAGTTGACTGCAGAAAACAGGTCCAACCCAGGTCTAGGAGCATGCCACCTTCCCTGGAATTTGGCCACTTCTGTGAGGACAAAGCTGTCCACTGGCCCCTGTAGGAGCTCTGTCCTCAGGGATGTCTGGTTGCTTTGCAGGCTGTGGAAGAGTCTCATTGCTGGATGTGATTACCGGCCGTCACCACGGTGGCAAGATGAAGTCAGGCAGTATCTGGATCAACAGGCAGCCCAGCACCCCTCAGGTCGTGAGGAAGTGCGTGGCCCACGTGCGCCAGCATGACCAGCTGCTGCCCAACCTGACGGTCCGAGAGACCCTGGCCTTCGTTGCCCAGATGCGCCTGCCTAGAAGCTTCTCGAAGGCTCAGCGTGACAAAAGGGTAACTAACTAACTGACCCCAGTAGTGACCTCTGGGGTCAGAAAAGACACATATTCTTCCCCTTCCCCACCGTCCCTGGCCTGCCTCGGGACCCAACCCAGGTGGAGTTTGAGCAATACAGCTCACCTCCCACCTGCAGGAAAGAGGCCATATGGTCACTCCCCCGCCCCCATCATTCAGTAGTTCTTTAGGACCTCCAGAAGCCATCTCAGCCCCAGTGGGTCCCCTTCATATTCATCCAACGTATGATTTGTGCATGTTTTCTGGTCCTGTGTGGGCAGTCCCAACACACGGCGATGCTCCCTCTTGGTGAACCTCCCAGGACAGGGGACAGGACGGGGGCAGGAGCACAGCAACAGAGAAATGAAGAGCTGCAAATGAAGGGCTCCCTCACTTTAACACCTGGGCGGAGGAGCAAGTGTCTCTACACTTTGGGTCCTAACGTGTGCAGCCCTTGGGGGGGCTCAGGCTGCGCTCCGCCTGCAGGTGGAGGACGTGATAGCGGAGCTGCGGCTGCGCCAGTGCGCCAACACCCGCGTGGGCAACGCGTATGTGCGCGGGGTGTCTGGGGGCGAGCGGAGGCGAGTCAGCATCGGGGTGCAGCTGCTGTGGAACCCAGGTAAGGGCCGGGCACGGGGGGGGGGGGGGGGGCGGAGTCGGCTGCTCTGCCTGGCTGGGGCCAGCGCGGTCACCAGGCTCCTTGCTCTGTCGTTGGGAAGGAATCCTCATCCTGGACGAACCCACCTCCGGGCTCGACAGCTTCACTGCCCACAACCTGGTGAAAACCTTGTCCCGTCTGGCCAAGGGCAACAGGCTGGTGCTCATCTCCCTCCACCAGCCTCGCTCGGACATCTTCAAGCTGTTTGACCTGGTCCTCCTGATGACGTCGGGCACCACCATCTACCTTGGAGCCGCCCAGCACATGGTCCAGTATTTCACGGCCATCGGCTACCCCTGTCCCCGCTACAGCAACCCTGCCGACTTCTATGGTGAGGTAGCAAGGCCAGTGAACCGTGACCTGGTGCACAGGACCCTCCCCACCCACTCTTCATCTCTTGCTGAAAAGATGCAGGAAAAAATTCTCAAACATCAGGAAAGGAGGAAGGAGTGGGTGGTGGGCAGAGCCAGGTGGAAGATTTTGATCAGTTTGCCAAGGATCAGATGCTAGAAAGAGGACGTGAAAAAAGGTATCATCTCACAAATAACCACCCTTCTGTGCAGGACAGATTGGGATGTACAGAGGGGATAGAATCCAAAGGGTTTAGATGATTTCTACAGTTGTGGTCTTTATTCAGACTCGGTTAAGGAAACAGGCTATTTAAGATCCACAAGCCACCAGGGAATCTTAAGAGTGTGCCCTGATGTCCCCACAGAGGCAGGGAGCCTGCAGGTTCAGTGGGGTGGAGGGGTCCAGGGAAGAGCTAGCTCAGGGCCTCACGGTTGGCCTTGGCCACTGAACCTCTAGTTATGAAAATGGCTCTTTCACCCTCAGACAGCTGTTCTCCGGGGTCCTGAGCACACAATATTACACATTTGTCAAATATGTGATGAGTTTATGTATTCCTGGGGACCAGAGGCCTTTTCAGGTGCCTGACCTGAAAGCACCCCTCAAGAGCACTGAGAACTGGCATGGCTGCTGGACAGGTGGCATAGTTATGCCAGGGTCAGGGGATGCAGCAGCTGTGGCTGGTCTCCGAGGTCGCCTGGAGCTTCAGGTTCTTCCCGGGATGGCAAAGTGTAGAAAGGAGTTCACCAATAAGTCTGACCACCGGACGGACCATATCTTCAAAGGCATACACAAAAGGGCCCAGATTGCCAAGCCCCAGAGGGTCTCCTGTTTGGCCTTCACATCCCTGCCAGGCCAAGGGCATCTCCATGTTTGCAGATGGGAAGACTGGGGCAGAAAGAGCTCAGCCCCTTTTCTGCTAGGGCACAGCTGTAAGGTCCAGAACACTGATGCGCCCAGTCCCAGGCCTGGACTCTAGTCCTTCTACCCAGGTTCTCCTCCCAGCATCCTGGCTACCTTCCATCCCTCCCCCAGGAGAACAGGCCACTCTTCCTGGCCCCTATTCCTTGCCTCTGCACTTGTGGCCTTGATGACCTCACACACAGGTCACCCTCCCTTCCAGTGCTCAGGTGCCATTCTGACTTCCTGCCAGTGTATCATTCTCTGGCCAGCCATCCTCAGATAAGAGGGCAGAGGGCACCTGCCAACCTGGTCACTGGGGGTAATTTGATGTAACCTTGGTCACAGGTTACCGGAAGTTAAATGCCCATAGCAGATTGGAAAACTCTTTTGTATCATGATTTGGGAGAAGTAGGAGTGGGGGCCCTCACCAGTATGGAGTATGGGAGCCACGTAGGGTGGGAGGGTGCCCAGTGTTTTGAGCTATCGTTCCTGAGGGAACAAACAGATGGTGTTTATAAGGCCCCTCTTAGAAGTGGTCCTGTCTCAGATGTGTAATGTACACAGGAGGAGGGAAAAGAGAGAAGTGACGGAGACTTCCAGCCACACAAATGCTCTGAAGACAGAATGGTAGAGGAACAAGGGTGTGCTTGGGTCTGGAACCAGGAGGGTGTTGAAGGCCCTGCTAAGACTGGTGGGGTTTCTTTTCCTGGCATTGCAGGGGCACTGGAGGTTAAGGCAGAGCACTGTGAGAGGAGGGCCGTGGCATGGGACTGCCAGGCCTGGTTCAGGGCAGCAACCCTTGGGACCTAGAGGTGGCTGTCCTCTTAGCCTCTCTCCAGCTGGTGGGCGGACTCCTTTCCCTGGGGTCAAAGGAGATGACCAAGGGCAGTGCTCTCTGTAGCAAGGGCTGGTCCCTTGCACCCTCCAAGCAAACACGTTCCTCCCTTAGGCAAGCTGCTTGGGAAGCCAAATGATTGATTAACAGGGAGAGAGTGACCTTCCAGGAACCTGAGTCCCCAGCTAGCCCATGACCAGCCCTCCTTCTCCCAGTGGGCTCAGGCATACCTGCAAGGCTGAGCTCTCATTACCAGCTTCCTGGACAGCTGGATTGGGAGCCAGGGCATAACTGTGGTGCAGGCTTTGGCTCCTGGGATGTCCCCATAATGAGCCTGGGTGGTGGGACTGGGGCCAATGCCGCTGTTGTTCACCACTTCCTGGTCCATGTGTTTCTCCTGAGGCCTTTGCAAATGTGGTTAGGCCTTGCAGGAGGAGAGACCAGCCATGGGGATCTTTCTGACTCCCTCTGCTCTGACCTTCACTTCGTGGTTCCCACTCAGAGAGTGGGGAGCTTGTCTTGGAGCCTCTATCCATGGCCCTGTGTCCTCTGCTTACAGTGGACTTGACCAGCATCAACAGATGCAGCAGAGAGCAGGAAATGGCCACCCGGGAGAAGGCTCAGTCACTTGCAGCCCTGTTTCTAGAAAAAGTGCGTGGCTTTGATGACTTCCTGTGGAAAGCAGAGACGAAGGAGCTGGATGTGGGCACCTGTGCAGCCAGGTACAGTGGGCCAGCATCTTGGAGTGGTAAGTACCCTGTGGCGGGTCCCAGTCCCTGACCCAGCCACATACTTACTGTCTCCCAACAGCCAGACCCTCCTGCAAGACTCTGGCCACCTCTCAATTCTCACTGAGCAGCCTGGGGCAGTGCAGCAGTTTGCTACCCTGATCCGGTAACTCTCTTTCATTTGTCGCCAGGTCCCCAAAGTCTCTGAGTAGCAAATCAAGCCTTTTCTATCTAATGTGAATTTGGGGCTGCGGGTGGAGCTCAATGGTAGAGCACTTGCCTAGCACGTACAGAGTCCTGGATTTGATCCCGTTCCTGCCCAAGAAGGGGAATTTGAAGGAGGAAGCAAGAGGTAGAACTTTTTGAAAAACAGCATCCTCAGGCCCAGAACCAGCCCTCAGGACATGAGAGACATCTGTTAAAATTCCTTCAAAAAAAATTAAAATTTGTTAAACAAAATTAAAATAGTCTTACTGGCCTAGTAATACTAGAGATAGCATAGTGGTCATTTGGGGAAAATTCAGACACTACTGGAGAATCTGTCTTGGAAACAGAAGAGTCCCTGTCACATCAGCCCAGGCTCACGTGCTCTGCATGTGTCATGCTAATCATTTCCATATACATAAACATTTCAATACACGAGTCAGATCTGCATATTGTTCCGTGGTCAGCTGTTTTTCTCACTTAGCACCTCTGACCCTCACCTCTCTACCACGTTCAACATAGCCATTCTTCATTTATTTGTCCAGTCCCTACTGATGATCAGATTTTTTTTTTACGCTTTTGCAATTACAATTAATGCTATGGCAGACTTGCCAACTAATACTTGCCCATCCATCTTTATGGGCCTAATTGATTTTCCCCTCCACAAATTATTTGTAAGTAAAATTGTCAGACTGCTAATAAAAGCCACAATCATTTATTTAGTACTTACTATGGGGACATATACTCTCATCATTTTTCTGATTTAGTCCTCATAGGAACTCTGTAAGGTGGGTGTCACTATCCCCATTTTACAGATGACAAAAATGAGGCTTCCAGAGGTTATAGGACATTCCCAAGGTCACCCCACAACTATGTTTTCCCCTTGATACCGTTTTCTTTTGTTTTCTTAAGTCGTCAGATTTCCAATGACTTCCGAGACCTGCCGACCCTCTTCATTCATGGGGTGGAGGCCTGTCTGATGTCCCTAATTATAGGGTTCCTCTACTATGGCCATGGGGACATCAAGCTCTCCTTTATGGACATGGCAGCCCTCTTGTTCATGATCGGAGCACTCATCCCTTTCAACGTCATTCTGGATGTCATCTCTAAAGGTGAGTGTCACCTGCTGTCCTGAGCAGACCAGGAAGCAGGCAGACATGGGCATCAGCCACTCTCTGAACTAGTCCAAGACTGAACTCTGTGCTCTTCCGAGCTCCTGGGGACAATGGGCTTTGCAGAATAATCGCATCATGATTGTGGAATAAAAGAGAATTGTTTTAAAAGTATGCAAATTAATATGAGTGTGCAAACGGAAGCAAATTACCAGTGTCTTAGCCGTGGTGATCCTAACAGGATTTATACTTGAGAGTGGCTTGCAAGCCACAGAACCACAACCCCTAAAGAGCCTCCCCAAACTCCTGAATCAGGGTGGCTTTACTGTGTCTGTTTTTAAAAAACAAACAAACAGAAAAGGTAGGAGCTACAACTACTTTTAGTAGTATTAACAGAGATGCAAAATCACAAACACTGTCGGTTGCTTTCACCATTTCAATCTTTTCTTCCCTGCCCCTCTTTAGGTCACTCAGAGAGGGCAATGCTGTACCATGAACTGGACGACGGACTGTACACAGCTGGTCCATATTTCTTTGCCAAGGTGACTGCAGGGGGAAGGAGCAGCGTGCACTGTGCAGTCATTGCTGGGAGGTTTTGCCGAGCCCAGGAGGGTGTGTTGTCTATGATGGCAGATACCACATCCACCATGTGAATTTCAGAGCCGTGCATATGTGTGTGTGTGTGTGTGTGTTTGTGTTTGGTAGTACTGGGAATCGAACTCAGGGACACTCTTGAACTTGTGATCCTCCTGCCTCAGCCTCCTGAGTTGCTGGGATTACAGGCATGAACCTCTAAGCCCCATGACTTGATAATTATTAAATATTCACTAGAAGGTCAGGATCAGGAATAAGACTTTTCTGGTCAGCAGGAACCCCAAAAGGGAAGAAGTGGGAAACACCTAGCACGTTTTAGCTCTCCAGAACCCCAGATCAGGTCACGGAAGTGTTTCCAGGAAGAGGAGGTTCAGAAAGATTATGTGACTCTACCAAGGCCACACAGCTACTAGATCTGGGAAGGAAGGCTGGGGACTTGAAACCAGGTCTTAGGAGAACAGAGGCGTTGTCCCCATGTCCTTGCAAGGGCTGTCCTTTGCAGGTTCTGGGGGAGCTACCAGAGCACTGTGCCTATGTCATCATCTACGGTATGCCCATCTACTGGCTGGCCAACCTGCGGCCCGGCCTGGAGCGCTTCCTGCTGTACTTCCTGCTGGTGTGGCTGGTGGTCTTCTGCTGCAGGGCCATGGCTCTGGCCGCTGCTGCCATGCTGCCTACTTTTCACATGTCCTCCTTCTTCTGCAACGCTCTCTACAACTCCTTCTACCTCACCGGGGGCTTCATGATCAACCTGGACAACCTGTGGATAGGTGAGGCCTGCTCCCCGTGCCTGGTCAAGCACCCGCGGGCCTCGCGTGGCCTGCCTTCATGTGGAGATGGAAAACCATCGCGTAGGTCCCACTCAAGGCTGGCCCTCTGGAAGCAGATGCCTTTGCCAGCGGCCTGCAGGCCATGAGAATGATTAGAGGACACAGGTGACACTTCCTCATAGCCCTCAGCAGACATACAGAAGTCACCCCAGTCCCCTCCCTCTCCACACTTGCAGTGAGCCAGCTCACATCCACCCTCCTAAATCTTTCTGAAATGTCCCCTTGGCTCTATCCCCAGCTCTAACCCCCATCATTGGACCCTGGGTCACTGCAACAGTCTGGTCTCTGTGACGTTGGTCCTTCTCAGGGCTCACCCATGTAGAGGGCTTTCTAGGGGACACATTCACGACCCTACTTTCCTTAAAGCCTCTCAGGCTACTGGCTCCCAGCTGCCTCCCCAGCTCTTGACAGCACACGCACCCTCCCACCTCTGAACCTGTCCTGCCCCTGAGTGGGGGCCATCCCCGCCTTCCGTGGTTTCCTGAAGCCCAGTAGGGATCAGTGTCCTTCCTCCCATAGCGTGACATTCCATAGGGTCAGAGCCACACAGCCATCTCTACTGTAGAGGTGCCAAGTGCTCTGTGAACTGAGTATGTACAGGACACCTCGTTAAATGACTCTCTAGAATTGTTATGAACCCAACACATGGGTGACCCTGCAGTCTCTCAGGACCCTCAGCCCCCATTCAGGTTCCCCACTGCCTCCTGCCCCTTGGCCTTCATGTCCTCTCTCACCTCCTTGCTCCTCAGAGTGCTTACTTCCCCTGGGCCAGACCCGGCCCAGCCCTGCCTTAGACAGGAACACGGTGCAGAGAGCAGGTGGCACCTGGAACAGGGGGCTGAGACCATGTGAATAACCTGGCTCTTGCTGTCCTCAGCACCCTCGTGGATCGCCAAGGTGTCCTTCCTCCGGTGGTGTTTCGCAGGGCTGATGCAGGTTCAGTTTAATGGATTCCTTTATACAGCACAGATAGGCAACGTCACCTTCTCGGTCCCAGGAGAGACGGTAAGTGATAAAGGCCGTGGATTCTAAATGAACGGACAACCAACTAGACATCTTCTTAATGAGCTTCCTGAATGTCTGTGTCTCCAGATCGTCAGTGCCATGGACCTGAACTCACACCCACTCTACACCATCTACCTCATCCTCGTCGGCATCAGCGGGGGCTTCCTGTTCCTGTACTATCTTTCCTTAAGGTTCATCAAACAGAAGTCAAGCCAAGACTGGTGATTCATAGCGGAGCACAGAGTGCACACCTGTAATCCCAGTGACAAGGGAGTCTGCGGCAGGAGATCAAAAGTTTGAGGCCAGCCTTAACAATTTAGCAAGATGCTCAGCAACTGAGTAAGACCCTGGCTCAAAATAAAAAAAAAAAAAAAGGAAAAGAAAAAGGACCAGAGATGCAGCTCAGTGGTAAAATGCCCCTGAGTTCAATTCCCAGTACCAACCCCCACCCTGAAAAAATTGGTAATTCATACCTAGACGCCTGCCTGCTGATGGGAAATCTTTGACAACACTCTCTTCCTCCAAAGGAGCCCCTTCCCAGCTAATAATGATGGACATGCTCAGCTACATCCAGCCCATGGCTGCAGTGGCACAGGTCAGCCACAGGATGGCAGTAGAATAAAGACAGTTGAAAGGAATTTCTGATCACTGGCCAGAGTTTGTGATAGTTGGGAGCAAGAAAACCAGGACTTGGTGGCACCCACAATGTTGCTAATTTATTTCTTTTGGATAAGTCTTTACATAGACAACTCACTTTGGATTGAGAGCAAATTAGGCAAGAATTGGGTAGCTGGGCTATGCAGGAATTGCTAGAACCCAAAGGGTACAGTAACATAATATTTTGCAAAATGTCTTGGTGCATCTTCCAGTGTCTCCATAGCTCTATGTTCAGTAACTCTCAATATGGAAAGTGAGCTAGAACTTGCCATAGAAATGCCATTTCTTTCTGTGTGGAGTCATGGACTCCAAAGCCAAAATGAACAATTGAAGATTTATTGAGCATCTACTCTGTAGCAGGTATGGTACAAAATGCTTTATGATGATGTCATCATTCACTCTCAGAACAACTCTCTGAGGTAAGTAAGTGGTATCCCATTTTATAGGTGAGGACACTGAGATACAGACACACTCAGTTTGCCAGGGTTATAGAACTTTAATGCAGCAGAGGCCTGTGGGAGTCAGAAAAGCCTTTGAGGCTTTTAAGGGTTAGCAGAAGGTGAGGCCGGAGCCACTGTAAGGCTTGGAAGCCCAGGAAACCTCCAGAAGAGGTTAACAGAGATTGTGTCGGCTCAGCGGTGCCTCAGACTTGCATCTCGCCGGCCCTGGCTCATCTCAGGAGCAACCTTGAACCTTTCACAATGTCCAGGCCCAGGTCATATGTTGCATGCCTGAGTACTGAGGACTGTCCGGTCCAAAACAGGTACACAGGAGCAATTGTTCCCGATGGAAAAGTGATTGTCTGGAACCAAAATAAGCAGTAAGGTGAGTGTTTGGGAGGCAAAGAGCAAATGTCCACAGATGCCCTAGGCCCTTGCTACTTCAAGTGTGGTCCATGGCACCTCCTGGGAGCTGGTTGGGCAGGCAGAACCTCAGATCCCCCAGACACCCTGTGACAGATGCTACATTTTCAGAAAATTGCCCTGGGGATTCGAATGCATATTCAAGTTTGAGAAGCAGCACCTTAACACTGTCATTTTAGAATCTGCCCCTCACACTCAGGGAATTTACACAGTTAACACTGCTACCAGCCAACCCCACTCAAGAATCACTAAGTGTTGACAGTGTCCTTGCTTCATGGCAAACGGTGTCCTTCATCCAGATCAAGTTTGAATCCAGAGGTCATGTCTCTTTTGCTCCCTTCAGATGCAGAACAGTCCCTCAACTTGCCTGACCTTGACACTCAATGATTTTAGAGGATCTCTCTCAACTTGGGTTCACCTGATGTGTTTTCATGACTAAATCCAGGCTCTACATTTTTGGCAGGAATGTCACAGAAAGTGGCATGTGGTTTCCATTTGTCCCACCTTGATAGTGCTCACTTGGATCACTTGATTGAAGGGGTGTTTGCCAGGTTTCTCCACAGTCAAGTGTCTATTTTCTCTCCTTTTAGAATTAGTAACCATTTTGTAGGGAGACACTAGAAAGCTGTGTAAATTTTGCCTGTTCTGCAACAACTTTCCATTTATTTATTTATATTGCTACTCATGTAGACTTGTGGTTTTCTATTTTATTCAATGAATTGTGACACTTTACCATCACTAATTTTTCTTTGTCTTTTTTTTTTTTTTTTTGGTACTGGGGATTGAACCCAGAGGCACTTAACTGCTGACCCACATCCCTAGCCCTTTTTTGTATTTTATTTTGAAACAGGGTTTCACTAAGTTGCTTAGGGCCTTCCTAAGTTGCTGAGGCTGGTTTAGAACTTGCGATCCTCCTGCTTCAGCCTCCTAAGCCCCTGGAATTACAGCGTGTACCACTGCGCCCAGCTACCATCACTAATTTGGATGCTCTAATTGTCCCTGATTTGGCTAGTAAAAGCCCCTTCAAGTTGGCTTCAGCATCCTTCTGACATGTCCCCATCATTCTCTGACAACTTTGTGACACCAGAGAGTATTTCAGGCTCATCTTGTGTTTCCCATCCAAGCCCTGAAATAGGATATTTCCTAAAGAATCTTGATCCTTTTACTGGACAATGGTAGTTAGAAGCCAAGATCTGAGAAGTCTGCTCACTGCTCTTGGGTATCGCTGCTCCCAAGCCTCTCGATGGACATTTAGGGAATCAGTGTGTGCATGCTCACCTGTACACACAGACTCACTGTGTATATGACTTTATGTCAATCACATCCGGTTCCAGCCCAGCACCAGCCGGTTCCAGTTTCCTCCCTTTTCCTGTTGGTAACACTCTCCTCCAGTTGTGAGGAGGCTGGCTTCCTTCTCATGACTCCATCACTTACTTATCCCCTGTATGTCACCAATCTCCCGTCAACACCTTCCCTTGTGTGGATGTCCTCCTTACCCTGCTGAGGGTGACAGGCTGTCCCTGAATCTGCACAGCTGCCCTCTTTCGCCTGCTCTGGCCTACCGAGGCTCCCCTGCCTCTCATCGTGGTCACCTCAGGAGGAAGAGGACATCAGTAGCTTTTTAATTCCCTGGTGATTCTAGCATGCAGTGAGGGTTGGCAGCTGCTGAGGTATACCATGTTGAATTGCCACTCAGCTTGCAAATGGCTTTAACCACTTGGTGGGCTTTGCTCTGCTGGGATACAGGGGATAACAGCAAAGGTGCAAAGGCAGGAGAAATGCCCCAAACAGTGCCATTTCTTTGGGTTTCTTCTAGAGTTTCTTCCACCGTGGCTGCCCAGGCTGAGGCTTTAACAAAGTCCAGCATCGACTACATCCACCCTGTTCTGATTCCTCGGGTCTGTTTCCTTTGAAACTCACAAGGGCATGTGAGGCCCAGGAAAAGGAAAACCAGGGTTCAGTGAACCCCTTCCTGCTTTGCAAGGGGTAGTATTGACTTATCTGTTATTCTCAAAAGCCTGGGTCCCAGGCTTCCCTGACAAGAGTCAGATGATAAATATTTTAGGCTTTGAGGGTCAGATAGCCTGTGTCATGATTGTATTATTCTGCTGTTACGGTTAGAAAGCAGCCCCAGACAATAGTAAATATGGCTGGTGTGGCTGTGTTCCAATAAAATACTACTTATAAAGACAGGCAGCTTGCTGGATTTGGCCTGAGGCTGTGGTTTGCAGACCCTTGATCAAAAGGTAAAGGTTTTGAAATTTGCATTTTAAGCTCTCCAATTTTAAGTTATGCTATTGACAGGGGAATTTTAATTAAACCAAAAATAATTACCTGTATTGACTCAAATATTTCTTGATGTGATTTTTAAAGAGCTGCTCTTGTTCCTGTAAAGAGTATTTAAGGCATAATCTTGCCCAGGGTTAAGCCAGTGATAAATCTTGCATTTGCTTTTTTTTCCCCCCTCTCCTATTTTTCAACTCTTTTTTTGATCTCAGATTAAACAGCTCACAGCAATGTCGTCGAAATCTATGTCAAACCCAAGTGTACCAAGACTCAAATTGATCACTTAACAAAGGAGCTTGGCACAGCCTCAGGTGCCATTTTCCTCTGGGCAGACTTGCCATGAGGCCCAGAGCATCCAAGGGACTCTGAAGAAGTGAGGGAGGTGCCAGGAAAGAGATGGAGCTTTTCCCCGCTGACCTGTGCTTATTTGGAAAGTACATCCAGTGCTTAATGCCCTCATATTGCAAGTAGGCTCAACTAGATAATTCGAATCTTAAGTCACCAGTCATTTATATTTGATTGGCTCTTCAATTAAAGTGGTCTGGATAGAGGCTGAGGGCAGCTTAGAATGTGTAGGCCTATCCCTGGCACCGCAGGGTGAGCCTGGGTGTGGAGCAGTAGCCTGTGTCTGTGTCACCTGGTCCCTGCATGAGGCAGTTCAAACAGGGGAGGCAGGCAGGTAGATGGAGCACAGCCCGTTTTCTGCTGGGAGCTGGAAACAGCAGCAGTGTGGTGTTAGCAGCTAATAATTAAAACAATAATGTTAGCAGCAGGTTGAGATTTTTAAACACTAACTCAATAACACTTCTCTGCTTGCTAGGTAACGGTGCTCACATTTATCTTTGTCTTTCTGTAAAAAAGTATTCTTGCTTTCCCAAGCTGCTAAAAAAGCTTTACTGCTCCTTGCTAACAGGAAGACTCTATTTCTGTTAATTCCAGCATTGCACAGAATCCTTGCATTGTGCTTGGGCTCAGAATGAGGTGCTTTGACTTTGGTCACACAGTTGAGAGGCCCCCTCCTCTCAAAAGGAAGGGGGCCAAGATGATTAATCAACTTATAAAAGGTTTATTTTGGTTGTTTCACATCATGATTATTTGGCCCTGTTGAAAATGTCAACATGTAGTCGAGGAAAGGTAAGATCTGAGTCCTTTGCGGGGACAGGCATGAGGGAGGAAGCCTTATGATACACACAAACCACGTCTCCAGAAGCATGTGACTTGGCAAAGAGAAACACGTGGCTTTGGGCACACTGATGTATTCATCAGTGCCAGGCTTTGTGGAAACAGGTAGATCTGCAGAGCTCATGTTCTGGGAGAGAAAAATAGAACGAAGAGAATTTCAGCAAGTGCATGCCCAGAGGCCAGGTCAGGGAAGAAACTCCTGCAGAGAACTAAGGATGGATCCATCCCAGCAGTCAG